TATGGATCGATATTTTTTGCCTGGACGGCTTCAATAGCTCTACCGATTATGTTCTTCATCACTTGATGCAGGTTACGAGACAGATATCATCCTTGAGATGCAAAAAGTATCACAAACTCCATATCCAAATAGAACTGCAAAAAAAAAAAAAAAAAAAAAAAAAAAAGGGTTCACATCTTTTTTTGCCACAATCACATATCCATCTGAGAAGTTCTGATGCATTCTGAACAACATTAACGATAAATATGGAAATAAATTTGAAAATGGTACGAAAATTGAAACCTGTTGAAGTCCGAAAGGTCCTAACGTCCTCTCCCCAGTTTCGACCTCATCCCAAAAGTTTTGATCTTCGAAAAACCATAAGATAACGGTTTCCATTAATCTCATCAAGAGAATGGTGGCAAACCTTTCCCTTCCAACAAATATATCAGATGCAATGCTGGCTATTCTTGTCAATTTTACAAATAGTTCCTGAATATGTCCAGATTTAACCACTGTGTTAGAATACAAAGAACTCCAATTATTTCAAGAATAACAAGATTCATTTTTTAAAGAACTCCAATTAGAAAGGTTCACCACTCCATTAGACTAGACTTTAGTCCACTAAAAATAATATACACGGTCCTACACATCAAACAATCTCAGCACATTTTATGAGTGAATGTTAGCGAAATATATATATATATATATATATATATATATATATATATATATAATTAAAGCCCCAAATTAACTAGACTACTCCGTCTCTGCAAACAAGAAGGAAGAGCGCGGCTGGTATTTATCCTCCACTCTAAATTTCGATGTTCTTGCATCGACTTATCATTTTCCCCCTATCTCTCCCATTCCAAAATTCCAACGTTTAAGGTAATTAATTTTATAGATTATAAATAGTATTTTCAATCTTTATTTTTCATACTCAAATTCAAATTCAATCCATATTTTTTAATCTATTTCATGTGCTTCAGTCATATTCATCACTCGACACTCATCGGCAAGATTGAACCTTTTCTTTATTTTGAAAAAAAATTAATCAATTAAATTTTTTTTGGCCCTCTCATTGATGAAAAGTCGGCTATCCGTTTGTAGTCTACCTCGCCCGGCCCGTTGTCCACCTCGCCCGGCTCGCCGTCCTCCACAACCGGGCCGAACTTCACTGCCGTCCGCGGCTTCCGGCGACCGCAGCGAAGTGAACAAAGAGGGGATCTTTTGATTTTTATATTCTTGATTTTTAGTTTGATATCTATTTTCTAAATTGGCTATTTATGTTAATTTCTTTGCTTGCTGTGATTTTATTTGTTTACTTGTTCTGATAATTTATTTATTTTTTTGTTTGATTCAACATTTGACTAGGCACATATTGTAAGATTCGTATATTTTTATCATACTAATTTTTGGGATAAGTTTTGTTTGTGATTTCTATTTATGTGTTTAGGATAAATTGTGATAACTGTTAATTTGTTATTGACTTATTGGTTTAATAATTTGATTATTAGAAACTTAACTATCTGGACATCAAAAGAGAGAAAAAAAGAAAGAAAATGAAGTTATAATTGAGTCGTTAATAGGTTCAATAGATAAAATTATTCTTAAAAAGAATAAGAGTGATGTTACAATTAAAAGTAACACAAATCGAAGATAATCATACTGAAGTTGAGTTGATAAATGATGAAGAAAATATAACTAATAATGATGAGAATGAAGGTACCAATAAGAATCAAAATGATAAAAATGAGGCTATAGCTTTTGAACTTGTTGGTGAAGAGAAAAAGTTTGTAAAAGAAGTACTTGGGGGCATTATTTTTATATTTGGCCCAGGGCCTTATAGTTTCCAGGACCGGCTCTGGTGGCAGACTTCATGCATCATGATCCTATTTGTCATAATTCTATATTTTGGATTGATACATAATTAACTTGGATGCCATGTCAAATGTCAATAAGCATGGTTATTTTCATAATATATTAAATATTTTCTTTATTATTTTCATAATATATTAAATATTTTCTTGGATATAAAATCAATCCAAAAAATCCAATCATTTTTAACTCAACCATTTTTTTTTAACTCGACCCCACTATCATTAATTTTATCAATATAATTAAATAATATCAATCAATCATTCTTACACACAACATCAACCTTAATTCACTATTCATCAACTCACATAATTTTAACTAACCATCACATCACATCTTCTCTCTCTTACTTTTACATCAAATTAATTTTAATTATTTTATTTTATTTCAAGACTGACCTTTAACCCGGAAACAAATTGTCAAGCATCTGAATTGCGTTAGTAAACTTAAAATCGGTGTAAAGAAGATCCAAGATCAACTTTGTGGCGAAGACCAAGGACACGTGTTTTTCACGTTCTTGGGATATGAAGGCGTTTGATCCGAAATCAAGGCGTTGACTCTCAGATTAACGTTAAATCAAGTCAAATAGAAGATCAAGCCGAATATTTCGCTCCAAGACTTAAAAATCATTTTTAGAAGAATCAAATGAGAAAATAGAGATTCTAATCCACAAAATCCATTTGATTCGAGAAATCAAATTGTAGAATATATTTCGTGTTTATAAATTCAATACACGAAATTTGTTATTAAAAATTTCTGGCACGCCCAGTGGGACATCTCTACCTCTAATCTCTTCTCCAAAATTCATCAAATCATCATGACTAGTCGCAAGATTGTCGTAGTTAAGGTTCCTACAACAAGTTCCTCAAGCTCCACCCAAGAAGCATGGCCAAACAGCTGCAAACATCTTCGGAGACGACTCCTTTGCACGAGGTGATCAGAAGTGATAAGCTACATCTTACCCACGAACGTGATAAAGACGACTCTGATTCCTCAACTCCTCGTTCAACATCAATGTAATGCCCCATTTGATTATTGAATTTTTGGGAATTATTTATTATTATTATTATTATTATTATTATTATTATTATTATTATTTTACTTTGTGCATATTATTATTATTATTATTATTATTATTATTATTATTATTATTTATCTTTATTTGTTGTTATAATTATTATTTGAATGCTAAATATTATTAAATGTCTAAAATGTATTATTTATCAACTTGCGATTAAATGTCTAATTGTCTAAATGATATTTACTTACCAAATTGTAATTAAATGCTTAAATGTCTAAATGTTATTATTATAAAATGTATGTATTTGTATTATTGTTAATATTACTATTTTATATTTTAATTGTGCGTATAATAATACCCGGCTTATTTATTTTATTGTGCGATTTAATTTCCGAGCCTCGTATAATTTTCGAGTCGGGCCCGAGAGAACCGACCGATTTTGATTATTTTCCGTAGCCATTGCGAGATTAGTTTGGCCCAACCCAAATTATTTTGAATGATCCCATTTGGATAAATTTTGAGCCCATTTAAATTAAAGCATTTGGCCCATTCATGAGTTTTAACTCCTTGGCCCAAAAGAAGTTGGAGTTCAACGTCAGATTTCCGTTCCTTCTTCCTCGCCGCGACCGAGTATTCTCCTTTCCAAATCAGAATTTCGTTGCGATTTTGTGGGAGATTCTCCATCGCACGTTCACCTCTCTTGTCCCTTATATCTTGGCTGAGAGAAATCGGTTCGTTTGAAATCACATGAAGAAATTCCACATCTTTTTCCCTGCTCTCTCCCTCCCATGGCTTTAAATTTAATTCCATCACCGGCGTCTGCTATTTAATTCTGGCGACCCCCCTCAGTGAATAGCCGCTGATTTCCATTTTTAATTCGCGAACCCTTCTGCCAGAGCCGTTCCTTGCAGAGAAACATCGAGCCCTCGTTTTCCCAACTCGTCCGACCCCGCAGATCAGTCCGCCAATCGATCCAGAAAGCCAGTCTGTCGTCGTTCTTTTCCCGAGCTCAGTCGCTGGCCATCGTCGAGGTTAGCCCCGTTCTCCGTTCGCGAGCAGCCATCTTGGTTTTGTTCATCATGCCCGACCATTTCAAGTTCCGATCGTCCGATTTTTCCAACCGAACCCGAAGAAAGGTATTCTTCGATCAGTACCTTCTCGTAAATGGTTGTTCGGACTGGATATCGTTCGATTATTTCGTGATTATATTTTGATTTTATCATACTCGTGTACTTGTTGATTATTGGCTCGTATAATTGTATGTTCGTCGGATTATGATTCGTGTCGTGGAATTTTTGGGACTCTCTCTGGTAGTTTTAATCGAGCCTTGTTGTTGTGTATATTATCGTGTTATTTGGAGTTCTCGTTTTGGGTACTCCCGAGTCGTCGTTGAATTTCTATTCGTTCATGAATTTTCATTCGATGTGTAGTCGTTCCGTTTTTTTTCAAAAATTTCGACTTTTATAAAAATTCGATCTCAGGAGAAATTGTTATTTTGTTAATGCTCAAAACCCATGCGAAATCGCTGTAAAAAAAATCTGTGGCCACAAAAATATATCTGTTCTTTTGTTCCCAGCAGGCTTTTTTTTTATTGTTTTAGTAACTATTATTTGTCTTTTAAGTCGCAACCAAGCCAGTGGTGCGGTGGTGACCTGCGTGAGGTCCCGTGTTCGAATCACTTCACCAGCAGCCCTTTCTAATTTTTTCGCCCAGCTCAGAATAACCCCTAGGCGCGCGGGCCGCTTGGCTCGTTTCCAGCCCGTGCGCGGCCCGTTCCCGGTCAGCAGTTTCAACCCACGTTCCGGCCCGCGTTCTCCCTCAGTCCTGGCCCGCGATTTGCCCAATCCAGGCACTTTTTGCGGCCCAATTTTTGGGTGCCAGGCCCAATATTTTCGCGGCCCAGTTTGTTTAGTGGCTAGAGCCTTTGGGCAAGCTTCCAGCGCAGCCCAGCTCGTCTTCTTGGCCTTTTTTGAGTTCCGGAAGCCCGTTTTTACTACCGATTTCAATTTTAAAAATATTGATAGGGAGTGTACTCCCTAGTATTTATGGATTTGATGAACCCAGTTTTGGGAGTTGATGTCAATTATTGAACCCGGTTGGGTGTCGACTATTTATGAATTTCAAACTCGTTGGGAATTGCATATGTGATATTGTTGGAATTTTTTTGGAAAATGAGTAGCGCCTCAAGTGTTTTGAAATAAATTTTGAAAAATTTATTCTGAATTTTGACAAATAAAAGTGGGGCGTTACAATCAAGCTCTTCATCAAATTCAAGGCATCGCTCCAGTTATGATTATTGAATTTTTGGGAATTATTTATTATTATTATTATTATTATTATTATTATTATTATTATTATTATTATTTATCTTTATTTGTTGTTATTATTATTATTTGAATGCTAAATATTATTAAATGTCTAAAATGAATTATTTATCAACTTGCGATTAAATGTCTAATTGTCTAAATGATATTTACTTACCAAATTGTAATTAAATGCTTAAATGTCTAAACGTTATTATTATAAAATGTATGTATTTGTATTATTGTTAATATTACTATTTTATATTTTAATTGTGTGTATAATAATACCCGGCTTATTTATTTTATTGTGC